ATCACTTCATATAGTGGCGATTCATTTTTTTTAAAATAACGGTATCTTCAAGCCATTAAGTTGAAGGCTGTTTGTTTCACAACAGATTAATGTAACCAGAAATGAGGAGCACCTCCATCTTTTAGTCCAAACCTCTGGATGTCCAAGCAAGCTTCCTTTCATACCCTGCAGTCCCAACTGCATGTCACTGGTCTATACTAAGGGGCAAGTGTCTTGGATTAGGAATATCATACTTATCCTTGGTCTCAACCAGTTGGCTTGTGCACTGTCTACAAACTTTCAATCACTCACAAACATTAGGAAAGAATGTAGCTATTTCACTGGTAACCAAAGAGTAAGTCAAATTTCCCCTTTATAAATTTACTTTTTGGTTGACAATTCATTTCTTAAAAGAACTACTCTCATGGCAATTTTCAAATACTGTGTTGGTCACCAAGTTGTTCACTGCATTCCCCGAACCTGGAATAGAACTTTGTAGCCTGAGTTCATTTTCATTCATTTCTTGCACTTCCCACTCATCTCTGACAACCACCATTTTGCAATCCACTGATGGTTCCAATAACATGTTGCTTAATCTCCCTTGTCAGTATTTTCCTACTTTTATATAACTGTAGTTAGAAAAGATGTTTGATATTTTAATTTTCAATTTATGAATACTTGTTTTGTGGGCTAACACATGGTCTATCCTGTAGAATGTTCCACGAATACTTAAGAAAACAGTGTATTCTGCTGCAGTTGGACAGAACATTCTATAAATATCTATTAAATCCATTTGTTGTAATATGGTAGTTTAAATCTAATGTTCCCTTACAAAATTTCTGAATAGATGATCATCTGTCCATTGTTAAAAAGTCTTAACTAAATTGATTGTACTTAAGTTTTTTACTAGTTTGCTAATCTGAACAGTAATCTTCTAACTGTTGATTTTAAAGAAATTTTTGGCTTTAGAACAACGCTCTGCTGTGCTCAGGGACCATGGGCTGTGCCAGGGATTGAGAACAGGTTGGCCAAGTGGAAGGCAAGCATCTTATCCATAGTACTATAGCTCCAGCCCCCAAATGTAGATTTTAATACATTTGATGCTATGCACAGCTCTATAGTATTCCTGCCAGCTTTTAATTTTATGGGAATTTTTGATATAACATAAATAAACCTAAGAAATACTTTTGAATGCAATTTTTATAAAAATCATTAAGAACCATTTTTTCAAAAAAGTTATAGTGAAGTAACCATACTCATTCAAATGGGGGGGGGGGAGACCAACCCTTTGTGGGGAAGGGGGTTGCTAAAATGATCCAAGAGGGCCCTTGGAATCCCAAGTGAAATCAGGGACCATGTAAAATTGTTTACTTAAAGAAGGTAGACTTCCAGTGGGCAGTGAGCAATTTCTTTCCTGAGAACAGGGTGGTAGGCCAAATAAGTTTGGGAATCTCTGGACTTTTATGGTTAGGGACACATTCCTGATATTCTATCTTCTTGTCGATTAGAGTTCTGTTATCCATAACTTATTCAAGCTCTCATAATCTGCTCAGCGTTGGTGTTTCCTATTTGCAGCTTTAAACTTTTTAAAAAATATTTCAGAATTCAGAAACAACATATTTCTTCCATCAACAAAACCTATCCAGGCAGGAGAGTAGTATAGGGAGTAGAGCACTTGCATGTGTCTAAGCTTGGATCAATCCCTGACACCAAGTTCCCTCCAGCCCCAGCATTATCAAATGCTGACTCAGAGGCCCAGAGACCTGCAGCACTGCATACCTGGGCCCTCACATTAGTGTGGCCAAGAATAGCTAGGAGTGGACCCCAGGTTCCCTAGCACTGCTTGGTTGGCCTCGCCAAAAGAGTAGGAACTCAGGTATATAATAAAATCTATTTTCTTTCTACATTTAGCAAGACTGTAGAAATACGCCCTTTTCCAACCCCAACACTACTCACAGGTGATCTTAATTTTTGAAAAAAATCTTAAAATTTAATTTTTCCAACATTGTATCATTTCTGAAAGTGATTAGATTTCAAAGTGGGAAAGGAGAAGTTTTAAATAAAGCTTATCTAAAGATACTTTCTGATATTAGGAATTTATTGGTAAAAGTAAATAAAGCTGAGAGAACAGTTGCTTAAAAAAGCAATCCAAACTTTGGACACTTAAAACTAAAGAAATAAATTTCTAGTTATCTTAACTATCATACCGTTTGATTCTTCAAGCCTATGAAATTTAGTTTATAGCTGACCCTTCAACAACATGTGTTTTAACTGTGTGGTTCCACTTACGCATGTTTTCTTGTAAATAGATCTTGTAAATTTACAGTAACATTATAGTATACACTATAGTACTTTTCCCTTTCCTCTAAGTATTTTTACTTCCTTATAGTTATCACTGAAAAAGTATATGGTTAATTTATGTTTTCATTTATAAGTATAAAAATGAAGTTTCCGTTCAGTGGAAATCAAGCTTGAATTTTAATTCGGCTCACCTTATTTGAAACCCAAGTAAGGTTTCCCTTAATTTCTAGAGAGAAATACAGTCTCATTATTAGACTCCTCAAACCTTCCCTCAGGTAGGAAGCTTGAGTGGTATCCCAGAAACACAAATCATGTGCGATTGTTCCTTTTTCACATAATGATCCCGTCTGACTCAACACCCATATCTCTTTCTGTCCACTCCCATTTTTAATTCCACTAAAATTTGGGAAACTGAAACCAAAAAGTGAACAAATTTATGGAAAGAAGAGAGCACAACTTAGATTGTTAAAAATCATGATTATTCAGCAAATAGTCACAATATTAGGTATGCAAAATACTCTAGCCAATTAGGAATATGAATGTCAGAGACCAAAGCATAAATCTTGCCTTCTGGCAGTTTACACTTGAGTAGGGAAACAATGATAGGAAACAAACAAAATTTTTACAAGAAGTCAAATAACAATAAGTACTATGAAAAAATACAGGAGGGGGAAAGTATGGTAATGACAGTACTGATGGCCACTGTGAGCAGGAACAGGCTCACAAATGGAGTAGCAGTTGAGTAAGAACATGGGAGAGCTAACGTTTCAGACTAAGAAAACAGCAACTCGAGCTCCCGAGGCAGAATGAGAACAATGGCATTAGAATAGAGTAAGAAAAAGAATACAAACTAAAGTCAGAATAAATTTGGAAAAAAGAGCTAATGAACAGACTGAGCTAAATATAAAACCTATATATTTTTATTTTGAGAAATGTTTAAATTCATTTAAAAATTTGCTTTCCCTTTGAAAATTAGCTCTTTAATTATATTTAAAAATCCTTTTGAAAGACAAGTTGAAATGACTTTTTATACTTGTATGGTAGTTTAATTTATTTAGGTTATTCAAAGGAAAATAGGCATTTTCCCTACTTATTCAAAGGAACTTAAGCAGTCTCTCAAACTCTTATTTCAAAGTCAACATCTGACACCATCATATTCATAAACTCATTGTCATGATTGATCACACTTAGAAAGACAGGAATGTCAACCCTATATGATAAACAACACTGATGCCAACACTTTAAAAGGAAGAGATTAAGAGTCAGAGGAAAAATTTAAAGCACTGGAAGAAGCTTCAGCAGCTCATCATCTCCTGAGCACTGGGTTGGGAGAAGTCCCTAAGTAGAGCTGGGTGTGCTCAAACAACAAACACCAAAAATAAAATAAAAGGAGGGATCAAATCAAACTTTGATTATTTGTAAAGTTTCTTTCAGGTTTGAAAAATTTTAATGGAATTAAAAAAAAAAACCTTCCAGGTTGAGTTATATAATTGTTCTGTCCAAATTAAAGTACTTGAGCAAAGTTTTGTGCTAATATTAAAATGCAGAGTAGAGGTCACACCCAGAATTCTACAATAGCACCATTTCTAGCATATGTAAGACCCTGGAATCCCCAGCAGAGAAGGGAGAGGAAGATGAAGAGAGGGAGAGGAGGAAAGAAAAGGGAGACAAATTGTATCTTAGACAATGTTCATAAAGAAAATTTTATAAATAAACCCATATAAATTCATATCAAATCCCACTAATTCATATTAAAGTAGATGATGTCTTAATTCAAAGGAAATAAGAATCTCAACTTTTTGAACTGCCTTAATTATAAATTTTAGCTGAAAACTAGTGAGCCAGCATTACGTACAAAAATCTTTAAGGAGACATAGCAATGATGTTATTAATGCGGAAAATAATAAGATTATTAGGTTAATATTCACTGTATTCAATTCTATAAGTCATAGTTTCTGAAAAACAGTTGTTTCTAAAAGTAATTTGTACGAGAGAAATTCTACTACTAGTACTACTACTATAAATCTCCACTCAAAATTTATTTAATTATGCATAGATTTCCCAAATACGCATAAGCAATACAAGCACAATTTCATCATGTTCATGCATCCCCAACAAATACTGCTTTCAACAATATGGGCACAACAATAATACTTTAAGTTCTGTTTGACTGCCTATTTAAGACTGCAGGCAATCTGACCACAATAGGAGCCATTCTGTAAGACAGGCCTAAAATTGTTTATATTTTAAGTTTATAAACAGTTTAGAAGTAACTAAAGAACAGAAAAATTTCTTTTTAAGTTATATTACAGGTCCTTGAATAGATTAAAGTTATGTGGAGACTGAAATCTCGCTAACATCACTTTCAAAATACATCTATAATAGTATAATTTATTGTACCCTTCATTGCTCTAAGTCTTGGCCATCTCCCCCTTGGAGAATTGCCTCATACTAATAACTATGCTCCCTGAGGTCTACTTTGAATACTCAACATGGCACCACAGAGAATGATTATCTCTACTCAATTATTCAAATCTACATCTTAATTTTTCTATAGCATGTATTACCCTATAACAACTACGGAATTTACTTGTATTAGTAAATGCATGCTCAGTAGTTGTAGAATTAACAAGTTTAGCTTATATGAACAAGTATGAAGAAATAATAAAGTCGACTTGATAAAAAAAATTACGTGCTCTGTTGTACAGAGCTTACCATACCAGATAAAATAAGCAGTTCAATAATTTCTGCATCTCCAAGATAGGCAGCAGCATGTAGCGGAGTTCTCTTTTCATTGTCCTGTGACAGAAGGAAAGGTGGAATGTTAACTTTAATACACTTTGAGTAAAGAAAACTTAGTAACCAACTTACTACTTCTATGCTTCTAGTTTGTGAGTTCCATTAAAAAGTTCCATATACATTTTAGAAAAAGACTAAAAATCTTTTGAGCTTAAAAGAAAAAGATCAAAGAACAAAAAGTTCAGGGTAAAATGCAGAAAATGTAACTTCTTGGCACACATTACAATAAAATATCCATGCTGCTGATATATATCTAAATTGCTGTTTTCCCCATATATTTCTACCATCTTGAACTAAAAATTTAATGAACTCAAACATTATCCAGAGTATACTTGTCAAAATTCTGTGAGGATAGGTGTTGGAACATTGACTGAAACTCAATCATGAACAACTCTGTAACTCTGTATTTCAGTGATTCAATTAAAAAAAGAGAGAGAACAGAAAACTTGTGTGAGTACACACAATAGCAGAGCAAATATTTTTGAATATTTGAAAATGTCCTTCAAAAAATTTTAAAAGTTTTTTTAAAATTTCCCACTCCTTTTGTCTTTTGCCCCCAAATATATTACTATCCTTGTAAACATATATTCTTCCCCAAAACTCTAGTTTGAAAAGATATTTGCACTCCATGGTCATTGCACTATTATTCACAACAGCCCAAATATGGAAACAACCCAAATGCCCAAGAACAGATGGATAGGTAAAGAAACGATGGTACACAATCACGATGGATTATTACCTGGCCTTAAGAAAAGGTAAAATCACATAATCTACTGATAAGTGGCTGAATCTGAAGAGTATCATGCTGAGTAAATTTAGTCAGAGGGCGAGAGACTTAGATCTCTCTCGGCCAGAGAGAGCACAGTGGGGGGAGTGTTTGCCTTGCACAAGGCCGACCTGGGTTCGATCCCCGGCATCCCATATGATCCCCCCAAGCACTGCCAGGAGTGATTCCTGAGCGCAGAGCCAGGAGTAACCTATGAGCACCACTGGGTGTGACAAACAAATAAACAAAAAAACCCTCTCATATGTGGAATATGAAGAGACAAGGGACAAGAAGAGATAAGAAGAGACAAATGCCCACAGGTAATAGACAAGAAGAACACAAGAACTGATCTTCAGTAGGAAGCCTGGGGAAGGGTAGAGGTTAGGACTTGAATAGGAAAGAGAACACTACAACAATGGTGGAAGGAAGTGATCAACTGGAGGGGGTGCTAAAAGGAAGTATAAAGTGTTACGCATGAAACTATCAGTAAAAGTACTGTGAATCACAGTATCAAAAACTGATCACAAATGGCTGTCAAATGGACCGGAGAGAATTACAGTGGGTAAATCTCGACTTGCACACAGCCAACCAGGGTTCATTTAATGCCTCACATTCCATATAGTCCTCCAAGCACCACCTGGAGTGATTCCCAAGTGCAGAGCTAGGAGTAACTCCTGAGCATCGCCAGCTTTGGCCCCCAAACAAAAAACAGAGGCAGGTAGGTGGAAGGGATACTGAGGACACTTGTTGAGAGAAGGGGAGGCTGGAAGAGAGATTGGTGTTGAAACACTGTATGCCTGAAACCCAATCATGAATAGCTCTGTAATACACAGTGACTAAAATTTAAAATACAAAACAAAACATAGTCTCCCAAATCTTCCTCCTGGATGAAAAGCCAGCTACACACAATGCACATCTTTCTCTCCTCAAACGTTTTTAATTTATACTTTTGAGAGTGATCTTATTTTCCACCGTGTAGTCCCCCTTTTATCGTTAGGAATAAAACTGTAGGGAATTACTCATCACCCAGCAACAAAATACCGTCCTAGTCTGCCTTTGAAGTAAACTTGAAGCACCGCAAAAACTAATAGCATTTAAGTAGAAGTAATGGTCAGAAATTCTAGGTTATCCTCAGCTTAAAGACAATTATCTTAGAGCTGTACTAATACTTTCCAATGTCCAAAGTTGCAGGCAGCTTTGTCTATGCAGAGGCAGTTGATCAGTAGCTCAGAAGACTGTCACACAACAAGATCCCAAATTATCTTATAAAATAGAATTGCCAGAACTGGAGTAAATAGTACAGCGGGTAGGGTGTTTGCCTTGCAAGCAGCCAATCAGGATTCAATCCCCGGCATCCCATATAGTTCCCCAAGCACCGCCAGGATTAATTCCTGAGTACAGAGCCAGAAGTAACAGCTGAGCATCTCTGGGTGTGACCCAAAAAGCAGAAATAAATAAATAAAATAAAACAGAATTGCCCTAGCAACCTTGACCACTAAGCTCCAGATTTAAAAAGTTCTTTAAATAATTATTGTGTTTTAGGCATATTTCTTACATTAGAATATTACAGGTTTCAAAGTTTGAACAAACCAATCACAAATACGGAAATCAAAATAACAAAAGAATTCCCTAAAAGTGAATGTCAAAGACCAGTGAACCCCCCCCTGCCCATTTTTGGGCCACACATAGTGGCCTCAGGGGACATTATGGGTACCAGGAATTGAACCCAAGGCAGTCACATGCAAGATAAACACCCTACTCAGCGCTCTACCCACTGTACTATCACTCCAGTCCAAAACTCTACAAAAACTTTTAAATACCCATTTTGTATTAAGTCTTTCAGAATCATTAAAGGCAGGCATACTTCCAAAGACATTTTATGAAGTCAGAATCATACCATGGATCCCAAACCTGGAGTGGACACCATAAAAGAGGGAAAACTGATTGATATAAAGGACACAGATACAAAAATCCTCAGCAAAATCTTGATAAATCAAAGTCAACAACACATAAAGAGAATAATTTATCAAGACCACATGGCTTTCATTCCAGGGATGCAAGAATGGTTTGATCAACACAAAGAAATACAAAAACCACATGACCAAATAAAATAATCAATTCTCCAAAAGTATTAAAAAAAATCAAAATCCATTTATGATTTTTAAAAAATCACCACTCATGGGAATAGAGGAACATGCTTGCACATACTAAAGATCTATAAAACACAAACCTAGAACTAATTTCATGACTAGAAGTAAAAAATAAAATATCTTTCCCTTAAGATACAGAAAGATAAGAAAGCCCATACATACCACCTTTTTGGGGGATGGGGGGCAGGGGTCAAAGGAAAATTCCAAGTTTGGGAGTGCCACTGCCGATTCCATGTCAACTGACTATCAGTTAAGCACAAGAGTCCAAGGAAGAATGCAACACCCAGGACATCCAGGCAGTAGTAAGAATCTCACAGTTGTACCCCTCATGATGCTCAGTGGACCATGTTACAAGCACCTGAAAATGTGCACATACCTGGCACACGCCCTAATCACTGTGCTATCTTCTGCCCCTACATTACTATTCTTATTTTTTTTCTTTGCTTTTAGGGTCACACCCAGCGATGCTCAGGGGTTACTCCTGGCGGGAATCATATGGGATGCCGGGGATCAAACCCAGGTTGGTAGTGTACAAGGCAAACGCCCTATCCGCTGTACTATTGTTCAGCCCCTACACTACTATTGTTGCCCTAATCACCGTGCTATCTCCTGACCCCTACACTACTATTCTTAACACAATTTTGTAAGTGTTTTAAATATGAACAAGAAAGGTATGAAAGAAACAAATTTTTAAAAAATTATAAAACTATCCCTATATATCAATTACACATACACATAGAAAACCTTAAGAACCCCACCAAAAAAAGCTATTAGAAATGATGAGTCAGAGTGGGAGGAAACAAAATATGGAAATCTGGCGCATTTGTATAGGTTTAGAGTTTGTGGAAAGAGAAACTTAGGAACAATACAATTTACCATTGCAACAAAACACCTGAGAGCAACACAAAGCAGGTAAAAGAACCATAAATTGAAAACCAAAGGACATTTCGAAAAGATATTAAAGACATGGAGAAACCAAAAGACATTCTGTGTTCATGGTTGAAAAAAAAAAGTACATAAAATGGCCATTTCATCCTAGAATAATCTACAAATTCAACATTATCCCTTCTCAAAGCAGTAATGGCATTCTTCAAGTAAACAAAACAAACAATTCTAAACATATTGTGGAACCACAAAACCCCAAATAGTCAAAATAATTCTGAGAGAAAAGAAAAATGGATGAGTGGAGTTTATGCCCAGTTCAATCAGCTGAATGAATGGCAAAATAAATAGCAGGACTCCTACGTTAAAAAAAAAAAAAAAGGATGCATTACATTCCCCAACTTCAACCACCAATAAGACAAAGAGAAGGTAACTGGACGATATTGGAAAAAAAAAAAAACAATGGAATTTTAACAGAGAACTTGAAAATAAAACTGCACATTTACAAATGTGAATCTACAATAAAGAAGCCATATCTGTACAATAAAGTGAAGGAAGCCTCTTAAGCATATGGAAGCTGGACAAACTGGACTGCCTCAAGCAAAAATACGAAACTTTATCACCAATGAACATCGCATACAAAAATCCACTCATAGTGGATCAAATATATTCAACTCGAAACCACAAAAAAAAAGTTGATCATTCAAGATCTCACTAGACATTTATCTATAGACTCAACTCCACTCTTCTTTCAGTTCCTTTTCTCTCTCTCTCTCTCTCTCACACACACACACACACACACACACACACACACACACACACAGACACCACCCTTATGCAAAAACAAGACTACATTAAGCTATAAAGTTTCCACAGAAAAATCAAGAGACAACTTCGCAACTGTGAGAAAATATTTGCACAGCATATGCCTGACAAGAGATTAATTCTCAAAATAAAGAGCTCATACAATTCAACAACAAAACAAAAACAACTCTGGACAAAAGACCCAAATAGACACTTCACCAAACAGTTCAGAGACACTTTCATGTCCAATATCACTCACTTGCCATTATTAAGAAAAGCAAATCGAGACTACAATGAGATACCACCTTAAGCTCTAAGAACAGCCCAAATTAAAAAGTATAAAGACATAGGGCTGGAGTGATAGAACAGAGGGCAGGACACTTGCCTTGCAATACAGG